CTACACAACTGGGAAAGTGTGACACATTTGTATCATAGTATAGACTTGGTAAGAACATTTGTCGAAAACTAGTGGAATGGAGTGAATTAGTGTTAGAAAAATTGTTATAAGTTAAACTAAAGACAACAAAATAAAAAGGGAAATTTTCATTAAAACTAAACATATCTAAGGTACAAAAGCGAGTAGAAGTGAAAAAATATGGAAAACTAAATTGGAAAATAGATAACTAAATGTATTTTTCTTGAAATTGATTACACCTTTCATAAGTGGTTGATTCCTATGTCATGCAATTGATATTGCTCATTATTTATCGATTCCTAAGTTGATTCGTTCCCTTAGCCCGTTTACAAATCCTAATGACTCTAAAAGACTATTAACATAATGGTTATGTAATTAATTAATCTCTAAAATCATTATTTAGTTCACATAATGCAAGATTTGAAGGGTTAATGTTCTTCAATGGTTATGTCAATTAATTTAATGGCTATCTAATGCAAGGACACACATTAAAGTTTATTCACTTAACTCTTGGATTTGGTCAATCACTAGTCATAATAGTTTAATGGTCATAAAATGACTATGCTTAAAGAAAACGTAATAGATTTGTCATCTAACTACATAAACTCAACAATATGCAATAAAGTCATAATCTTCAATGCATGTGGATCTTTGATAAAAAAAACACAATAAATTAAATAACTTCATAAATCTAAATAACAAGCAAATCATAAGATCAAGGTTTTATCTACATCTAAGCACAAAGTAAAAGGTTTTAAAAACCCAAATTAGAGACATGCCTGCTAAGAATTATGATTAAAAAGCTAAATATAGACAGTAAAGCAAACCAAGCAATTCTCCCATGATTATGCATCTCAATCCTTCAGATTCTTACTCCAAATTAGCTTAACAGCCCGCTAGCCTCCATTTAAACTCTCAAAATGGTGTTTCTAGAGTTTCTTCCAAGTTACGATATGTGGTTGTTAAATACCTTAGGTTATGGCTAAGGGTCCTTTTATAGAGTTTTCTGCCGACATGAAAAACACAGCATGTCGGTCTTGTGGACACGTCGTGTCTAAAAGTTTTCTTGTATCCTCTAAATAATTCCATGTGGGCGCACCACGTGTAATATTGTGGGTGCGTCGCGCAAACCTTAATTCGACATTTTTCCGCAACTTTTGTTTTAATCAAGTTTCCAACTCCTTTTTTGCTACTTTTGCTCCATCAAAACACAACTCACAATAATAAGATAACGTATAAAATATATCTATAATTTAAACGTTGTCACAATAACTCATACTTAGGTTTTGTTTGTCCTTAAGCAGACTAGAATCAATTTAGACCAAAATCTCAATTCAATTCCAACATTACTACATAAAAACATTATGTACCAATATTCTGCAAAACAGTTCAATTCAAGACCACCAATTACACTTAAAATCATGTGTATAATTGTGTTCTAAACATATTAATTTTCCAAGCCTCAAATACTCGCATTCCTCATAAATATTCACCACTTAATTTGAACAATACTCATTTCTACATATCATCAAAATATAACCTTCAAAAACCTCTCAACCTCAAGGTATGTTTGACAACTTCTCAAGCTTCTTAAACTCAAATAAAAGATAAACAACATAGAAAAACAAAAACTTTCCTGATTGTTCGACTGTTTCCTTTCTTTTTTATTTCTCCATTTTATTTTCCTCGTTCTTTTATTTATTCATTCGACTCTTCTTCTACACTTTTCAAATAATTCACTTTCTTTTAGTTTGTTTTCATTTTATTTATTCATTTTCACACATTTTTTTTTATTTTCCATGTTTTTTTTCAAATAATTCAGTTTTTTCTCTCTTATTTTCTCTCACTCTTAACTATAAGATAAATAGACTTAATATAATAGAGTCAATGACTTTTGATGAATCTCATGTAACAAAATTCTTTCCAATCGATCTCATGCCAATTGGCTTATGGTCGCCGGATTTAAAACATCCTTAAAGGGGTATTGGCTAAACTTCAAAGGCAACAAATTGACTTCATATATATCCTATAGTAACTAAATAATAATATGTAACTAACAATAACGTGGAAACTTAACTTTAACATATATAGGTCAAGACGTAGTGAATCCAAAATATGTTCTAGGTGTGGTGGGTACCACGTGTCAAACTCCATTTATATAGAGGATCACATAAATGGGTAGTGTCTATCGGATCTTAGGATCAAAACGACCCATTCTGAAATATATGACTAAAACCGTCACAAAAACCCTTCATAATAGAGATTCCTTCGAAAAATTTCTAGGAAAGTTCTTTCCTGGGAAATCCGTAGGATAGGTTATTCTTGGAAATTCCTAACAAATGCATTTTCATGGAAATCCCTAGGAAAGGCTTTTCCTCGGAAAGCTTCTCGACAAAGGCATGTGTTGAAAACTCCTTGATAATTCATACAAATAATTTTTCTCAAAAAGTTCTCAACAAATTCCTAGGAAATATTCCCTATAAGATTTTTCCGAAGAAATAAAATTCTTAGGAAAAGTCTATTTCCGAGAAATATCCTAGGAATCTTTTCCTAGGAATCTTTTCCTAGGAATTCCCGCCTTTTTCTAATAGTATATGGGCTTGCTGGTCATTTTTTTTTTAAATACAAACGAGTTGGTCTCCCTAGTATACTAATTAAAAAAATAGTTATTTTTGTTAACATCCCGTACAAAAAAAATAATGATGTTACATTTTCAAATAAATGAAATACTAAATAGAATAGGGGTAAGTGAATAATATAGATAGATCGAGGCTAAGGGCGTGTTTGGCACGGAGCTTTTGGAAGCGTTTAGGAGCTTCTAGCTTTTAGCTTTTAATAAAACGCTCTAGTTTAAACAAAAAGTTTCGTTTGGCAGTATGAGCGTTTAGCTTTTAGTTTTAACAAAACGCTCCGATTTTAAAAGCTACTTCATGTAGCGTTTAACAAAACGCTCCTGAGCTTTTGAAATCAATTTCCATAATTACCCTTAAAAATATATTTATATATTTATTTATTTTTAATCAAGTGTCCTTTTATGTAATTTTATATATTTCAAAAGCTTCCAGCTACTTTTGCCAAACATTCATATAACAAATAAAAGCTACAGCTTCCCACTACCAGCTACCTGCTACACGCTACCAGCTACCCGCTACCAGCTAACAGCTACTTTTGCCAAACACGCCCTAAATATAATAAATACCCATATGAATTTAAAACACATTTTTGATTCACAAAAAAAAAAAAAAAAAAAAAAAAAAAAAAAAAAAAACTGTTCTTTGTATGATAATAATGGCCTTTGATAAGAACCAAGATGGCATGCACATGTTAACTACAAAGACGAGTAAAAGATTAGGACCGGCCCTTGGTTTTAAAGTTGTACCGATATGGATGCTCTAAGAATCTTGAGGTGGTAGATTGTATGAAAATCATTCTCAATTCTCTTCGATTTATTAAGAAAAACAATCCTTGAAGATATTTAGTTATGACATTCACAAAATACGTGATCCTTTCTCAACCATAAGATCCGGAACAAAGTCACTTTATATCCTCAATGAACACAATAAGCAACGTGAAACAATCCATACATTAGTAATCAACATCAACCCTACTTTGCAACGTATCCATTTCTGTTTACCACAAACAGTAATACATGATACTCATAAAGTAAAAAACCGACGAACCGCTATTGTCTACTAGTATCGTGAAAGGTTTAAATTAACCAAAAAAGTCACCCTTTCTGCATTTATGGGTCAAGACTATTAAAATTTACCATTATTATATGTATCTTAACTACAGCAACACATTGTGACATATAGGTGTAGTGTGCAAAGATTTATTCTTTATGAGGAAACTTGTTATTAACCTTTTGTTAGGGTACACTTTCTCTCCGTAGATATGGGTAAGATAAGATGTGTAACTAAATGGACAAGAAACGATGGGGATATTTTGAGTTTAACGTATATTTTTTTGTGTTTAGGTATTAAGCCTAATGTTATGAGATATGTTGAAAATGTATCCCACCCAAGTGGGGCGAGGGTCCAAGTCGTGTTGCACAAAATATGATGATTTAAGAATAAAGTTAAATGAAAATATGTGTTATCCGTTCTAATTAAAATAATAATAATAATAATAATAATATAACAAAATATATAAATATAATAACAAAAAAAAAATTAATATATATACTTACATTCATAATCGATGGAATTCGATTAAAACGGCCAAAAGGAAAAATATATTGAAATCTTGAAGAGTTCATATGGTTTCTTAAAAAAAAATCTTGTATCCAAAAAATAAAAAAATAAAAAATAAAAGAATAAAAATTTATCATATCTATCTAATCACCTTGTAATTTAGTTTATAATTGTTTGTGTGTCTCTCTCTCTCTCTCTATATATATATATATATATATATATATATATATATATATATATATATATATATATAATCGGTGTATAATCGGTTGTGTTTTTCTGCATATATCCTAAAAATAAAAAAGTTGAAGCTTTTTTGAAAAAAGAATTATGTAAAATCAAAAGATTACGGTAAACAAAGACCAAATATAAAATGTGAAATACCTTTCTAGATAGAAAAAAATTAAATAAGTCGAGGTATTATTCGAAGGAAAAAAAAAAATCTATCAGGTCTTTTTTATGTAATAAACCAATGATTAAAAAGTGCAAAATGATTCTTATTTTACTCGAAACAATTAATAATTTTGATTGTTTCGAAAAATTTCTTTAGATGATATGTTTGTCTATAAATAATATGTATTCTTTATTTTATATGATCAATAAAATAAACTAATTGGTCAAAGAAAATGACAAATTATAAAAGATTTACAAAAATCCACAAGAATGGATGCGTAAACTCTTAACTCTAAAGAGTGAAGACATGTCTTCATCTCGTCATCCACTCTTGAATAGTCTGAATCATAACAGAATTATACAGAAAAAAAAAAAAAAGTGTTAAGGAATAAATCAGAGCTACACCACAACATAAGCAATCAAATTACAAAATTTAAACCAATAACTTATCCACAAAATCTATCTTGCCATACACATTATAACGGCTCTATAGAAAAAAAGAATGAACATCTGATTCTAATCAAAACAACATCTCATCTCACCTCATCTGTTTTTTTTTTCTATTCCATGATACTACTAGTAGTACACTATCGATCCCAACATCAAAAAAACCCAGCCACGTATTAAATTTCCAGGCTGGCTTTCTCCAGGATCCACGTCAGCAAAAACCTAGTTTTGTTTTACATGTGTCTTGTCTTGACTCTCTTGATATATTTATTTATTTATGATTTATGATTTATGATTTATGATTATGACAATGAACGTGTCAAAAAATCATTAACAGCAAGACTGGCGTCCCCATGGGACACTGCATCATCTGGCTCTGGCATAAACAAAGAAGCCATGGAAGCCTGCAGTAGAAATTATATATATATATATATATATATATATATATATATATATATATATATATAATGAATGGGTAAAAAATAATAAAGTAAATGAAGATGAAAGCATAGCACATATTGTATATATATAAATACCTTGGCATCAATCATCATCTCTCCAGAATTATCCATAGCAAGAGATGCACCATGAGCCTTCAACCATTCTGTACACTCCTCCAACCCATTTTCTTGGAATCCAAGAACCTGAGCCACATAATTCACAGGTAGTGTTGGCCGATATGATCGGGTCATGCATTTCACAGCTGCATACCGCATCTTCTCCACATAAAGATCTGTGCACATAATATTATAATCATTTATAAGAAAAATATATATTAATAAATAAGTAGTAATGAAAAGTGAAAAAGTGAAGTGAGGGTCTTACCCATAAGACACGTGTTGAGGTTAGGAGCAATTTTATATAATCTGAAAAACAAGACATAGTTTCCGGATGTCACGGCTGCACGCACTGCAAGAGCATGTTTTACTGCTTCGTCTTTCCTTGCTTCGACTGATAATCTACACTTGACATTCAATTTTTTTAATAACTTAAAACTTAAAACTACGTCGTTTTGAGTTTATTATATATAATATTAATAACATGGACCTAGACATGGCTGACAAGTGATCTCTATTGTTCTTTGAGTGCAAGATAACACAAAGTAAATTGTATGCAGAAAACTCCATATGGCATCCCTTAATTCCTTCAGCGTAAAGAGTCTGCAATTGTGACTGGCACTGGAAAATCAAAATACCTTTTCATTAATTTAAAATTGCTAATTTTTTTTCATTTAAACATAAATAACTTAAGTGTGTAACATCTAGAGGTTAAAGACAAACCTGATTAATCTCGGACAAGTCTCCAACTTCTATTGCTAATCTTGCATGGGTTTCATATACCTGAAGATTATATACAAGATATAATTAGAAATTATAATTAATCTCTAAATGACCATTCTATCCTTACATTACATAAGTCAAAAGTATAGCTGCTACCTTGACAGTCAACTCATTGCGTATCCGTTGTACTGTAAGGTCTTGTCGAATGGATTTGAGCTGATCACATTTATAAAGATAGTTCTTTTGAGACTCTTGAACCATAACCAAAGCCTTTTCCAATACTTCCTCAGGTCTTACCTGAAATAAACACAAATTAAAATCTAAAACCCTAAACCCTAAACCCCAGAAGAAGATGATGATTTACTTACAGTTGAAGGATCTGGTGCAGAAGTGAGGCGTAAGTAACGTTTTTCAATTTCTTGACAAGTTCCTTTAACAGTTAAAGAGTCCCAATCAATATCTTCAACTGCCCTGCTAGCACCTCCACCATCATCTGAGGTGTTGGTGTTGCTACTATTTGCCAACATGGACATAGACGCCCTTCTAGTGTACAAGTTTTTGGCTTTATTATTGTTATTATATGTTGTTCGATTTCCATGGTTTTTTTCAAAACGTTTTGAACGACTTTCACGTCTCTTTTTTTCTTCAGGTGAATCCGCAAGTGTAATTGCACTTGCATAATATGCAGTTAGGCCTTGTTCTTTGTCACTATCACTTGATGATGAGTCATTGTTGTTGTTGTTGTTGTGGTTAACAGGTGCGCTTTTACCTTCACCTATATGTTGCCTTTTAGCTGGACGAAAACCAGATTTATTTGTTTCTTTTTGATTTGATAAAAAGAATCTCAGGTTACTAAACTTATTACTCTCCTTATTCTCTGGTTTTCCTGTTGAAAACTGTACAAAACACATGATAAAAAGAATTACTAATCAACAAAAGTACATTGCTACTTTTTGCATTTAATCCTAGAAAGCAACAAACCTGCTTATCTCTTTCAATGCTATGAAAGCCTCCACTGGATTTTACACTTTCAGGGGTAAAAAATGATTGTTTCTCAACTGGTTTCTCATCTGGCAAAGGCTCCCACCTACTTTTTGCACGCCTATTTGGACTTCTTCTGTTCTTCATCAGTGATGGAGGAGTTGATCTATTCAATAAAGTGACAGAAAAATGGTTTAAAAGACTGATAGAAAAACAAGTTAAAGAGAAGAAGCATACTCATTATTAATGGTATCTGTGTTAGGAATAGGGAAAAGAGGCTCAGTATCCCAATCTCGTGTAGAAAGAGTGCCTTCAGTACTTGCTTTGGTGATAACCTGCAATAATCAAAAAATATAAGTGCCAATAGCAACATGTTCAAATGTGTTTTTGGGTTTAAAATAATTATATAAAACCATGAAAGTTTCAAAAGCAAACAAACCTCCTTGAGGACATTTTGACAAGCTGCCATCTGTCTATCATCCTTGCAACGAGCCAAAGCCCTTTCCACATACCCACGTAGTGACTTGGGAAGCGTGCCAGGCTGTAAACATGAAAATTTTCAATGATTAAATAAATGATAAGAAAAGTAAATTCTTTAGTCCAAATCAAGTCTCACCTTATCTGCAGAATCTGCAGCAGCAGCATGTGATGATGTGTTGTCATTAGGGTTAGGAAGTGAGACACCGATATAAGCTGGTTTTGTGGCTCCAATTGTGGAATTGTTGTTTTTTGGTAAATTTGAAGAGATTCTAGGGTTTGTTGGAATCTGCACTTTGTTTACCCCAAAGGGTACAGAAGTTTGTGGAGGTGGTTGATAGGTTTGAGGCACCTGATGAGAAGCTGTATATTGTTGTACATTTGGTCTTTGAGGGAGGGCTTCCAAAGGCTTCTGAAAGCCTGATTGCATTGGGGTAACATGGTAATTTTGGTAACCTTGACTCCCTTGTTTCCAGTAACTTTCATGGACATTCTTAATTGCTGCACTAGGCTGAGAACAAAATCATAAAAGACTTAAGTATGGATGCAAGAACATATAAGTATGTAGGAATACAAGGCTTCTTGTATGCATATAAGTATGCATGCTTGTATTTATGGTATGTATCTATGCATGAACATATGTTAAGATGGGTGGATGTATTGTCTGTATGCATGTAATGTAAGCATGTCTTTAATTACTAAAGATACTTCTTGGATGTTTAATTTCTTTTCACTAGAAATAGAACAGAACTAAAAAAAAAAAACAGAAACGTACCTTTATATGAGATGAAATATATAATAACAAATTAACTCTTACATATTGATGATGCTGTAATAATATAGACAAAATTCGTTTTTATAAAAGTAAATTATTGAATGTTAACTCAAAAAACATAAACAAGTTATCAGGTCAATTCGAATGTTAACATGGTAAGAAGCATGATTCTGATTTCTGACCCATTGAAAATAACATGGTTTCTGTAAGTTTGTAACTATTTATTTATGCACAAATAAGTTACATTTAGTATTTATATGGAAAATGGAATATCACCAATTTAGTTCTATATTCAATTTGGAAGCCCCAGAGAAACATTACATGTAACTTTGTAGGTCACATATACTGATATACTCTTAAATCCTAAATACATTCTAAAGCTAAAAAAAGCTTGCTCATTCTGAGAATAAGAATATATTAAAATTACAATTAGAACTTCAAAAGGTACATAAACCCTGGCATATAACATAGCAGCTAGTATTGACGCATAGTGTTATATTTAGATATTATACTATGTTTGAATGCAACACAGGTTATTTTTCTTTTTTTTTTTTTTTAGTAAAAGAAGCTTGGAAAGACCAAATCAACAGCACAAACATCCATCAGACACCAAAAACAACATCAACAATTCCCGAGTCCCATAACAAATAGGGTAAGGGGAATGTTAGCAGTCTTGCATCCACCCAAGGGTAGAGAGTCTGCTTCCATATATGACTCTTCAGCAAGAGGAAATGTGAAAACAAATAGGCATAAATATGCATATAATAAGTAGATACAGCCATACAGGCAATAGAGTACAGAAGAAAGTAACAAGCAGATACAAGCCATAGAGTAATAGAGCAGGAAGTAAAAGGAGTGATAAATATGAAGATAAAGACTCCACTACCCTAATTTTAAATCTCCACTCCCTCCTATATGTGGTCTTCTAAAGAACTAACTTCTTTAAGTCTAGCCTCACACTATCTTCCTACTTCATCACACAGTCAATTACAATTAGTCTCCTAGAATCTACTATGCAAAATTATATCATTGGTTATTCATTTGGCAATAGCTACTAGGCATGCAGTATTACTGGATCCAATTAAGAACATACACAAGAGGCATCACAAATCACAATGCTATTAAATTATATGGGAAAAGCAATCCCCAAACCTGCACTGAGGGTAACTCAGATAAGCCAGATTCTGGCTTCCAAGATGATGAAATTGGAGCAGTAGATGCCACTTGTTGGCTGTTTGGAGCAGAATAAGCATTGGCAACAACAGGAACAGGAACAGGAACAGGAGACACCAGATTGGGTGCACTTGTAGAAGATACATTTTCTGTCCCAGGAGCACATGTGACTTCAGTTTGGTTATAATAATCTGTCCATTGTTTATTATAATCTTGTTGATATTGTACAGATGCCACAGGAGTATTATTTTGAGCAGTATAAGCAACATTAGAGTCTGTAGTGTAGTTTGGATATTGATGACCATAACTTGGATAGCTTCCTTGATTCCATGAATTCGTCTGATTATTGTAATTTGCACTTGGGTAACCACCAGATGTCTGATAATCACCAGGATTGTAATAAGTTGTTGAATAACTTGCAGGCCCAGGATAGGACCCTGTATTCTGAAATGAGGAAATAGGCTGATGAGGAGCACCTGTACTTTGATAGGCTCCTGCTGGCTGAGCATAAGTTTGACTAGGCTGAACATACGTTTGACTAGACTGATTTGGCTGCTGCTGAGGGTATGATTGATTTGGCTGCTGCTGCTGTTGAGGATATGATTGATTTGGCTGCTGCTGCTGTTGAGGATATGATTGATTTGGCTGCTGTTGAGGGTATGATTGATTTGGCTGCTGTTGAGGGTATGATTGATTTGGCTGCTGCTGCTGATAGCTACTACTATAGTAACCTGCATATCCTGTGTTTCCATATCCATATGGATCATTGTTCGGGTATGTAGCAGTTGCAGTTGCAGTTGGAGTTGCATAGTTGGCATACTCTAAATTAGCTGCTCCAGAACTTGAAACAGTGCCAGCAGATGCCACACTCAATCCATCTTGAAGGTTTCTTGATTGAGGTTCTGAACGTTGATCATGGCTGAAGTTGGCACTGGGATAAGTTTTGTTCCCTGTGGAATCGCTAACAGCTCCATACATGGTCCAGGATGCAGATTCAGGGGCGGAAGATGAGGCATAATATGATTGTGCTTGTCCATGGCTTGAATCAACAGCGTGATGCTTAAAAATCAAAAGAATCAGAAATGGTTTTAGTTGAAATGCACCATTATTAAAAATCAATGAATGACTAGCAAAAGAATTTGAATATCATCCATATGCATCGATTAGAGTTGTATAAACATGCTAAAGTGTTGTTTCTGCAGGTGTCTTAATGCCTACCTCAAGTGAATTCGGGTCCAGGGTGGTTATGGTGTCCGTAACTCCTTGATTCATCATAGCATCAAAAGCATCCTCCTGCTAAAAGAAAAAAACAAATATTAGCTTAAAGCCTTAAACCTGGAATTTTCATGAATCTACAAACGAACCTAAGAGATACACTTATAATCAACAATAACCAATAAAAGCAAAAACCCTAACTAATTCACTGGAAACAACAAATCAACCTTATGAATATCTAGAGTCAATCGTGAGCTTGTAATGCAAAACACCTTGTTGCCGACGTCTGTGTTGATTCGAGTAGATGATTATAAACAAAAAGAAGAAATTTAAAACGGGTATTATGAAGATTTGTATGTTCGTAGAGATTTGAGAATTAAGGGAAGATCGGAGAGAGCGATAAAGGGGGATTAGTGAGGAGATTCAACCGGGCGTCTACGTTGGGTCCAATTTGGGGTTCCCGAATGCTGTGTGGAAGTGGGTTAAATTCGGAGGTTTGGTTGCAACGAGTAATTTCTGTTTTCAATTATTCTAGGGATACTTATTTAGGCAAGGAGGTTAAGACGTTAAGTGGTTGTTCCCTATTTTAAATATGGACAGATTATATTGTATAACTATTTAATATGAAAAGGCTATTGTTACATTAGTTTCCATATGTTTGGAAAAAAAAGAGTAATTTGTACACAATATTTTTATAAGATTATAGAAAGAAAACATTTGAAGAATTGAAAATAACTTTATCAAGAAGAAGACCGGTCAATTGGTCGATGTCGGTGATGAGATTGAAGCTTCTATATAATCCAAGAGTGTTGTCTCCACTTGGAGCGAAGGATGGGTTTTAGCCAAATGGCGAAGCCTTCCAAAGGAGTGTAGTCTCGACTTCGGCCTAGAGCGAATTATGAGTTTTGGTATCAACGAAGGTTGGAGATATCAGGATGAAGCAAAAGGGTCAAGCTTTTCGGATGAAGCGAAGTTTGAAGTCAAGGCAAAAGCAAATTCTCGATAAAATGTTTTGAAGTGCAGTCTTTCCCTCGGTGTTCCTAGAAGCTTGGGTCCCCAAGTGGCAGTGAATCAGTCTCTAGTGAATCAGTCTCTAGTCCTGAGCTTCGATGTTGTCCTTTCAACCTTGGAGAATAAGTTTCGTATTATGCCAGCCTAGCATATGGTCATTGGCCCAACCCATAATATTTAGGTCAACGAAACTATAACATTTATTGTAACCCTAATAGGTCTGTGTGTTGAAACTAATAGTACACTTGATACATAAATCTTGTATAGCATTGATAATCAATAAAAAGGAATTTCTTTAGTTTTTCTATGGGCGTAGACTGATTACTCTAATCAAGTGAACCACGTTAAATCTCTTTGTGTTCTTGTTTAATCTTCTTAGCTTTATCATCTCTACTATTATGATTAATTTTGTTGAGTTGTTCTTAATACCTAACAACCGATATTAAAGTTATGGTTGAAGATGGAAAGATGGGAAGTTTAAGATCAATAAATTTAAAGGTCACGTTTTGGATTTTGGAGGATGTAGATCGAAGATTATCCATGCCATAAAAGTTACACCTACCCTTGAGTAGAAGAAAATCAGAAGCCATGAATTGGGAAGATTGAGATATGTTAGATCAGCACACCCCTGGAGTAGTCACGTTATCGTTGGCAAAGAATGTTGCTTTCAACATTGACAATGAAAAAACAACATTTAAGTTAATCAAGGAGTTGTCTAACATGTATAAAAAACCCTCGACGACTAACAAAGGTTCATGATTAGATAGTTGTTTATGAAGAAAGATGGTTCAGTGATGGATCATGTGAACAAGTTCAACTCAATAATATCACAAAATTGATATTTGTTGATATTAGATTTGAATACGAAGTCCATACGTTGTTGTTATTATCTTCGCTTCTTAAGAGTTGGTCTGGAACATTCATAACAGTGAGCGGTTCACATAGAACCACGAAACTCTCATTTGAAGGCATTTGTGACTTAATCATCGGTGAGGATGTCTAGAAAAAGAAGAATGATGGAGAGTGCTACAACAATATATTGAGTATTGAAGACATGTGAAGAAAGTATAATAGATGGTATCGTGGTAGAGGAAGATCAAAGTTAAGGAGGAGAGGGCAGTCCTAGAGCAAGAAGGATATTACCTGTTGGAATTGTATATAAAAAATTAAAAAAAAATTAAAAAAAAAACGATTACTTATAAATCAGTTCTCAAAACCTTTGCCGAGAAGGCGAGGAGGAAAGTGCATATGGTTGAAGATTTTGATTATGTTCTTATTTGTTGTATACAGAATCTGAATGAATCATAGATCATGGATTCGTGTGCCTCGTTCCATGCAAGTCATTGCTGAAAAGTAACGTATAATTTTAAGCATTACAGTAACAAAGCGAGGCTTACGAGACGACAAAACCCTAAATATCACCGGAGTTGGAGATGTCGTCATCAACATAACTTTGGGTGCGAAATGGACTTTTAAGAATGTCGAGTAAATTTCGGATATGAAGAGGATAATGATATACACCATGTCAATTTTGGCAATCACCGGTGGAAAGTAACAAAAGGGAACCTTATAGTTGCTTGTGTTCAGAAGCGAAGAGCATTATGTATGGTTGGATATTCGACAAATATAGTAAACTCATCAATTGAAGATACATGGACTTCCACACAGTGGCACCGAATGATCGATCACATGAGAGAGAAGGGAATGAAGATGTTGGCTTCAAAAGGCATAATACTAGAGTTGAGAAGTGTAGCCGTTTGTTTTTTTGTTTTTGTTTTTTGTTTTTTTTTTTTGATCCACGTGTACTTGAAAAAAAGAAGGTTACCTCCACCAAGATGAGGCTGGTTGGCATCCAAGGTTGAGAAACTATAATTTTTTCATTCGTAAGTCTATTAAACTTTGGTCTCTTCAACGGGAGAGTCTCGGTATTACGTTACTTTCCTAAATGACTCCACGAGAATAAACATAACTCTAAATAAAAGGGAGAAGAGCATAAGACAACATGCAAGATTGTCAAAAATGTTTTGAGCAAATACAGTCAACATCACATCCTATTTAATAACAAAGGACCCTCAGTCCCCATAGGGTTCAAGATTTCAAAATAGGAATGGCAAAGTCCAGAGATATCCGCTCATCTAAAAGTATTCAGGTATCTCTTACATCATAATAAAGATGCGAAAAAAGATAATTTATACGTTAAAATGTTGTATTGTCAACTCTATAAAACATTAATTATTGTGTATGGAGAAAAATTGTGTAAATCACCTCCCAATTCTCAAGCATAATCGATTAAATCAAATATGATAACACTGAATGAAACTGAAAAGATATATTTTTCCACAAACTGTACATTTTTGGACATGAAAATAAATGTTTTCCAACAAGACATGTTTTTATAGTTGGTTTTAGGTACAAACAACAATTACGACAGACAAAGAAACAAACAAACAAACACATGATTAGCATATTATATATTTATATGGTAAGTATGTAGTAGTGGCTACATTGATATTATGAAATAAATGCTTTTGTCACTTGACTGTAGCTGAAAACATCTCTTGTTCTTGGGCAAGTAATTGTTCCATTATTATTACGTGCCATTTCTTCAAGAGCCTTCAAAACAAAACAAAACAAACATTATTTTCCCAATAAAAGTTTTGTACAATCTTCTAACATTCCAAAATCTAGTTGATGGAGACATGATTTAGCTAACCTTAGTGCTGTAAACATATCCATTGGGTAAAACAAGTGGTGGATTCTCTGTATCCATGAGCTCTTTTGTTATGTAGCAGACAAGTTTTGAATGATGCTGCTTTGAGTAAGGCAATGGCATTGCAAGTTTCCGGAAGCTTTCTTGAGACAGAGGATCCTCTTTTGGACAATCATCCTCATAACAGAATCTAATCCCAATAGTCAAGCCAAAACTACACAAGTTTTTTTAAAAGTAAAATGATAATAATGAATGTAGGATACGGAGTTTTCAGAGCTGATAAGCCTGCTTGGAGATAGATATTCAACAAAGGCTCAAGAGTCATGCCATATAACCTACAAAACTCCTGTTTGAATTGTTCCATTAAGAAATCCCATTGCTTTGCATCAAATAAAACCTGCCAAAACACAAAAAAAGATGTCAGTTAATCAACAAAATGGAAGGAAGGAATGGTTGATTCCATTCCATTCTACCAAACCTGATCATGGAATGTTTATACTCATTAGATATTGAAAAGAACATTAACCTTGTATGTCTCACATCCAGTATTACAAGTAAAAGCCAATGTGGCAAAAACTTTCTGAAACTCTTTCATATAAGAAGCTGCCCATGGTGAAAGGTGCTTTCGGGAATATGTAACTGCCTGGAGATTCTTTTCATTGCGCACCAATTCAATAAACTCCTGAAGCCTCAATTGAAACTCAAATTTGCTCTGTTATCAAGAAAAAGAACACTCAGTATCAGCCATGTTTATGTATCTTTTCTTATATCAGTAGCAATTACAAGATTGAAGAAATAAGTATAGTATACCTTAGACTTTTTTAACCTAGACTTGTTATCAGCACACCAGGCTAGAGCAGGAGCTACCTCCTTGTTTCTTAGAGCATCCATCACTCTTTTGGCTTCATAAAAGATTTCAATATCAACAAGATCCTGTCAAAGATGAAGCAAGAACGTGTGACAGTTGTAGAAGAATCAAGAATCTAGGAATACTTTCACAAGATAATTGTAAAGGAATCTTGAATGAAGAGAAACAGAAGATTATTGCGAAATACCTGTATGTGACTGCTTTCAGCAAGCTGTGTGGCAGTGGTATAGTATGACATTCGCAACATATAGTCTACCAGTATTCGCTTCAACCGCGTGTTGTTCCACTCTGATATATTGTCGGCGCCGGCGGATTCCAGATGATCAAGTCGGGCCTTACACCGTTGCGCTTGGAGATGCTCAGCCCTACTCCCATCTTCCAACTGTTTAGTTACAGATTATCAGGCATTGATGGGAATGGGATAACTATTTTCTTATCAAGATTCTTAATCATCCAATAAACCAATAGAAAACAGAAATTGATCGATGCAATACAATTAAGTACGGCATTTAGATAATCGGAACCCTAGAAAAATAATTGAATTAGTCGATTAGGTTTACGAGTATGAAGATTAATTACCTTCCGCTTGAGACCTTGTAATCTAGAAACGAGCGAATTGAGATGCTTAACGGCATCGTCTTGGGAGAGATCACCGGAATCTGAGAGAGTGGACATGACGGCAGAGACCTCTTTCTCGACAGCCCTGTGGTTGGCGCGGATCGTCTTCTTGTAGTGTTCGAATGGGACTCTCAAGAACTGATGTTCTAGTTTTAAGGACTCCGTCAGTTGGGTGAGTTTCGAAGAGGGAACTGCACCGTGAACTGATGGGAAGGATGCGGCGGTGGCTGAGGAGATGGTGGCGTTGGAGACGGCGGAGTTGCCGTTCGTATTGGATTCCATTTTTGTTGGGAGGAGGAGAACGGAGGTGAATCAAATCAGGGAGAAGATGGTTTGTGTGTGGGATTGTTACAAATGGTTTGGGGGTTGCCGGTGCCCCTACTAGAAGAAGAATATATACGACGTCGTTTGCAGGTGGCTTCATTCGAGTCCCTTTTAAAATGGAAAAATAAAATTTGTATTTATGTAGAATTAATGAAAAAAAATTGAGACAAATGATTTTGAGAGTTTCTGTAATCAGTTACATGGTTCATTTCATTGTAACGAAAAGAAGATGTTTGTTTGGTCTAGTGGAACAGAATGATCATTTATGAGTAAACGGATTTATCTTATTTTGTTAGCATTTTTTTTGGAAAAGAAATTTCTAATGAGAGTTTTGAGTCAGCTTTCGTGCACCGATTAATCTCCACTGCAAACATGAGGTTATGTCTCATGTTCTGGAGTCACTGCAGACAAACATTCATGGTCACAGAGGCGGATTAGTATCAAGATTTAAACATGAATCAATAGGTTATCCACCATATCTTTCGTATGTTTACCAAATCACCACAACCCAAGTGGTTTTATTTTGTTAATTTTAATATCTTAAAAATTGTTGTTTTTTAAGTAAACGGATTTATCTTATTTTGTTAATTTTAATCTCAGAAGAATGGTTGTTTTTCTACTCCATCATATAGTCGATGCAAAATTGTAAAAAAAACAAAAAAACATTTTGTTTATATAATTTGTAATGACACAAATCCCTTCTCTACAATCATTTCTTTCTCTCTTAAAATGTTAAGACAAACGTCTTTCTCTCTTAAAATGTTAAGACAAACGTAAAGAAGTTTGATACTTGTATATTATCTTTTTATACACAAAAATGATTTTTGTTCTTAAAGGCTTAAAAGCTTTTTATTGTAAAAGGATACTAGCATACATGTAGAGAAGTTTGATACTTGTATATCATCACTGTTATTTATTTTTCTTCCTATGGTCTTGTTTTAATATTTCATTTTCATATTAAAATGATCATTGGTGGATACAAATTTTATGTTATTCAAGTTTAAAATGTTTATGTTATTATATTTATCATTTTTAAAACCAAAATTTTGAACAAATCTCAACAACCCTTTTGGTGTTTTGAGATGAAATATTGAATTTTGCCAACCGAATGCTTAATTAACTTGAGTTGTTTTGAAAACTCTGAAAAATATACATTACTTTATTAATGATGTTTTACACATGTTTTTTGGGGGTTTGGCTTAGGTACGATGATTGCCATCTTACTCTACGAAGTCAAACTCATATAACTTACTAGGCAAATATATTGTCTAACTTATTTTGATGTGTGTTTAGACGGATGGATACAAGGCTATGGCTAAGTTGATATTTTAGAACGCCTTAACTTGTGGGGCACTTGAACCTTGTTACGATACATATGATTAACATCTCACATTTTGATTAAATAAACTTTTGAAATACTTTTTGGAGCTATTTATTTCTACAAACTCTATGAAACTTTGAACTTAAGGTTTTAAAACATAAAACTTGTGTTTTTAAATGTTACTTTCAAACTACATGGTCGACGGGTGTAATCCTTATGACAATGATTAATGAATCTATCTAAAATTTGGTCATAAATAAATGCAAATGAACCTGATGCAACTTCTTGCTTATATTCGAAATATCGATCGATCATGTGTTTATTATTGTCTTAGTTTATTGTTCTTCTCCCAACAATGATCGACTAAGGATGATTTAGAATTAAGAGAAGTCATTCAAAAATCGATCATTTGTTTAATGATATCCGTCATCGAAAGAAAAAAAAATCCATTCACTTAAACATGTGAAAACAAACATGAAAGAAAAAAATATGTAACTACAACTATCTAATAAATAAATAAAAATGTTACAAAACTTTAACATTACAATTAATCAATTAATCACGAGTACTAATTCCATTTGTTTAAGAACCTGATTCTATAGCTTTCCATTTATTATATGTCCAAGTATTGATTATGATTGTAAAAGTTATATAAAAAATAATTTAAAATAACAATATTAATTTTAATAACCATAACACTTCATAAAAAAATTATAAATGGAAAAGTCATAATATAAACATAAGGAAAATATAAAATAACATTAATTTAAAAATTAACTAATTTCATAAAGATTTTTACCTCAAAAAGTTAGTTTTTTTAGAAAAAATCTCAGATTTGAGAAATTGAAAATTCCACAGATATGTGAAATTCTTTGATTTTTTATTTTTAGTTTTGTATGTAAAAACTACAATACATATATATTTTTTTAAATGATATTTGAAGATTTTACGAGAAAAAGTTAAAAAAATTGATTTGTTTTGTTGTGTTTTGTTCAGGTAAACATATATTTACACATATCACGAAAGGAATTGAATTTCCAATATGTTATTCACTTATTTGGCATGATCGTTACTAACTTCTGTCAATTTTGGACTATAGCCCATCAACCGAATCGACCCTGAACAGAGCCCACAGAAATTTAGACTCGTGTGAGGCGTGTGCTATTTATAGGCATACGCACAACCCCTCTTTCTTTGCATCCAAGAATCCTCCGAAATTACTCCAAACCGAAGACCAATTCTCCCCCATTAAACCAAACCGAGAGCTGCTAATGCTATGATTACAATTCGGTTTGTAAGCATCCGCCATATATGAAAAGCTTTTGATTGGAGGTCAGTTTTAATCATGTAATGTTATAAATTCTGCTTAATGTGTTTGATTTTTGGCACAGACAAACAATTTTCATGCTGGTTTGCGTCGAATTTTTATAAAGTTGATCTTTCACTTTACAACCACCATAAATTGTTTCTTCATGTTGTTTGTGCTTTTGCAGATTTACGATATCCGATATCCGCATGCAATTTTGTGGTAAATTCTGGAGACGGTGATGTGGGTTTTGAGATTGAGCAGAGATTTAGGTTGAAAATCTAGGGTTTTAATTATCTCATTGTTAAAAAGTTTCGTCTTTGGGTTATATTAATATGCGAAAGAAGGAGAATGGTTAGAATTACATTGAAGAAAATCGTGTATCCTTGTTGGAAGCCATTTATGGAAGGAGATAGTCAAAGTAGCGGTAGAAAGGGGGATTTCGGTGGAATTGTGGATGGATTATGGTGGTATGAGGACTCCGGAAAACATGTTAATGGTGATTTTTCAATGGCGATGATCCAAGCCAATAGCGTGTTGGAGGATCAATGTCAACTTGAATCCGGATCATTAAGCTCAATCGAACATGGGCCTCAAGGAACCTTCGTTGGAGTCTATGACGGACATGCTGGCCCTGAAGCTTCAAGGTTTATCAATAATCACCTCTTCAACAATATCAAAAGTACACTCTTCAATTCCTCATATATTTTCTATTCATATCATGGGTTTTCTGTTTTCATCTTATAAATTCTAATTTGTTTTCCATATTCACGACTCCAGAATTCACATCGGAGAATGAAGGAATGTCAGATGAAGTTATACGCAAAGCATTTTTGGCAACTGAAGAGGAGTTTATCTCTTTAGTTGAGAGCGAATGGCTAAGCAATCCAAAAATGGCATCTGTAGGGTCGTGTTGTTTGGTTGGTGTAATATGCAATGGAGTGTTGTACGTTGCAAATGCAGGGGATTCTCGTGCAGTTTTGGCAAGAGAAGAGAAAGGCATCAATGGATTCAAAGGTGTTAGGATTTCAGAAGAACACAATGCCAGTTATGAATCTGTTAGGGAAGAACTACGCTCATTGCATCCAAATGATCCAAATATTGTAGCATTAAAGCACAATGTCTGGCGTGTGAGAGGTCTTATCCAGGTAATTTCTCTTACAAAGCTTATTCAGATTCTCTCTCTCTTTTCTTTTTACTTAATGAGCTTAATGCTTTTAAACACTTAATCTCTAGTGTAATCTATATTTGGGTGTTTTGTTTCTTTTTTTGATCATTATGTCAATAATCCAAGTGGTTAGAATGTACTTTTTGTGGTTTTTAGCTTTTAAAAGACCCTCATACCCCCTCTCATGTTTTCTTATCGGTTTATTTTCAGCCTAATTCAACTTCTATACGCGATAAAGGTTTGTTCAAGTTGCATAGTTTTCACATTCAAGATACACGGTGAATGTACTACCCTTGTACATATGTACACATTAGTCATTTACCTAAACTACCCTTGTAGATTAAACTCCATCTTTAATAACTTACAATAACAAATTGACAACCATGTCCAAGTATGTAATAACTTTCCCAAATGAAGCATATTATATTCTAACAAAATTTTCACAATCTTGCAGATTTCTAGGTCAATTGGTGATGTCTATTTGAAGAAACCAGAGTTCAATAAAGAACCTTTATTGCCAAAATTTATACTCCCAGAACCCTTCAATCAGCCTATTCTAAAAGCTGAACCTTCTGTATTGGTTCAGAAGCTCACTCCAGAAGATCAATTTCTTATTTTTGCATCTGATGGTTTGTGGGAGCATCTTACTGATCAAGAAGCTGTTGATATAGTCAAATCTTCTCCACAAAATGTAAGTTTTTCAACATGTAATAAATAAATATATTTAGGTCTTTTATGCAAATGGTTATGAACTTATGATAATATATAAATATAATATGCAGGGAATTGGGAGGAAGCTTGTGAAAGCTGCACTACATAAAGCAGCAAAGAAGAGAGAAATGAGATACTCAGATTTAAAGAAAGTAGGGGTAGAGGGAGGTGTAAGAAGACACTTTCATGATGATATTACAGTTATAGTCTTGTTTCTCAACCATAATTTGTCATCCTCTGCAACTCCCGTATCGTTTAAATGTTCTTCATAAAGTCCTGAAAAACTGAATTCAGGGATTTTTTTTATTTCTATTGAGAAAGGTTTTTGCTGTTTGGAATTTGGAGTAATAAAACATGGTTGATGATTATGCCAAGAAGAAGAAGCTCTGGTGATTGGCATATGAAGCTGATTTGCAGTTGGGTTGTTCTTTGTTTATTCAAACACAAACACTAGTTTCATGTTTCTATTGGAATTACTCGTCATTGTTTTGTTGTCATTAATGGCGTTTTTACAAGATTTGAACTTGGTTTGTTTATGCTTCCTTGGTTTGATTTTAGTGTTATGTTATGT